CTGCCCCCCCAGGCACAGCCATAGTCTTCTCTCCTGGGATCCCACGCCGTAGTACTGTCCATATGGGCTCCAGAGAATGAAGCCCGTGAGAGATCACCGGAGAGTGCTTATGCCTAGCTCAATGATATCTAGAATAAAAGCCATTGTTTAGACAATGCCCATCCCTGCACCACACACATCACTCTTCCAATTTAAGGCAATGCCTGAAAATGAGCTGTTTACAAAGCGTTACAAGGTTCCAAGATATGTAAAACACAAATGTTAACAGGTTTCATTTCCAATTGTACAAACACTTAAGGGCCAGGCCCAGCATCAGCAACATAAAAATGGAGACCCTATCCTACACATAAAGACAACAGTATACAGACAAACTATTTGATACAAAATGTAAATGCATTTAGTCACTTGTTTAACACATATTCATGAAGGCCTTTGTGTGTACCAGGAGCTGAGGACAATTAGATGAGATATAGAATCCTATACTTGCAGCCTGGTGTGCTGGCAGGCTAGAAATAAGCCAGGCCTTTCCCCATGCAGTGGTGTGTACATTTTATTATGAAGGTAATGGTGAGCCATTGAAGAATGTAGTGTGTGTGTGTGTGTGTGTGTGTGTGTGTGTGTGTGTGAGAGAGAGAGAGAGAGAGAGAGAGAGAGAGAGAGAGAGAGAGAGAGAGAGAGAGAGAATCTGTTACTTTGACTCTAATCCCTGGAGGTAAGCATTTTACAAATCTTTATTGAATTCATTAATGAGTGAAAACATTATGATAACACTAAAAATGGATTAACCATGCCTGGCTGATCACCAAATCAGAGTGAACCAACAGACAGTGCTGTCCAGTGTGTGGTATAGAACTCTTAATCTCTCACTGCCCTTCAGGAAGGCACAGGACCTCTCTGTTCACATAGGGGTTAACAGTCCTCTATGTCTTGTGTATTCTAAACTTTTCTAAGTATTCCATTCAATATTTTGGTCAGTACTTTAATCCTCACCCACAGACACATTCCTGTCTCCCCACAGGGACTGTGAATTAAGGCCTGTAGTCCCTGGCTGCCCCCAACCTCTGCTCTGCCACTTAATACCCAGCAGGATCAGAGCCAGCAGGAGCAGTGTGATGCTCTCTTAGTCCATGGAATGTGGGGCAGGAATTAGAGCTGACTTCACAATTATTTCCTGAGAGTGGCTTTGCAGGCCTTTGGTGGCCTCTGATGGCTTGGCATCACCCTTTGCCCAGGTTCGTCCATGACTCCTCCCCACAGACGACTCCATTCCAGAGGGCTACCGGCTGCCTCTCCTCCTTCCAGGACCCATCTCTGCTCTCTGGAGGCAGACACAGCTTCCATACCCCCTTGCTGCTGGAAGAACTCCCTGACAGGTACAGCCCCTCCTCTCCCTTTGTCTGGCCAAAGACCTCTTTTGTCAAACCAAGTCCTGTCCCATTGTAAGGTCTTTCTCAACTGCAAGCATCATTCCCATTCCCACCTTTGCCCCCAATGGAAGTTATACCAACACACTACTGTTAGGTGATGGTAGACACCAGTGAAGCCTCAGGACCCCCACTTCCACCAAGGAGAGAATCAGCAACAGGGTCTCCGGGTGCCTTCATCTTAAATGCCAGCCCTTTCTCTAATTCTCACAGTTGACTAGTATAAAATTCAAATCCTTTCATTGTAATGGAAGCCAAGAGCTCACCACTTGAGGTACTGGTGCTTAATTCTGGTATTAATGAAAAATTATGTGTACTGCAAGAGTCAACCAAAGATTCTCAAGCAGCAAAGCTAGACTGCTTCATCTCCTGAATAATGGTCCAGTGATCCTCCCAAATGTGTCAACTCCAGGACACAAGAATTCCTAGAATCTGGAGTGTGAGCATTTTAATAATAATAATTTTAACGATTTTAATGCTGATTAATTTTGTTTTGTTTTTGTTTTTGTTTTCATTGTTTTTGGTTTTTTGAGACAGGGTTTCTCTGTGTAGCTTTGGAGCCTATCCTGGTACTCGCTCTGGAGACCAGGCTGGCCTGGAACTCACAGAGATCCACCTGCCTCTGCCTCCCAAGTACTGGGATTAAAGGCGTGCACCACCAACGCCTGGCAAATATTCTTGCTTTTTAAAGATAAAATGTGGTAGCAGTAACCTTTATCATGGGTGGTGTGGTTTCAGTTATATTGTTTAATAAGCTTTTAGTAGTATTGCTATATTCAAAGCATTTATGATTGCTACTCTACTGTAATTAGACCTCAGGTCACATGTAAGAGACAAGACACTTACAAATCCATCTGTACTCAGAAGGTGGCTGACATTATGCTCTGCTGTTGCTATCTTAAAATTCATTTGTTGCTATGCTGGTTTGTCTTTGTCTTCTTAGCTTAAATTGTTACTTTTATTTATATTAGTACTTATAACAATGGACTTCATTATGGCATTTCATATATGTGTATGTATTTTGATGATGCTTGTCCCACTGCCCTTCCTGGCCCCACTTCCATTCTAGCAAATCCCCTTCCTCTTTCTAACTAGTCGCCTTCAACTTTCATGGCGTGTGTGTGTGTGTGTGTGTGTGTGTGTGTGTGTGTGTGTGTGTGTATGTTACTTTAATTAGGTTTGCTTATAGGAGCATGGATGAATGGTTGTTTACAGGAGTATGCTTTTTTTTTACTAGTGTCTGCACCAACAACCATTAACTACCAATAGATCCTCTGAGGAGGGTACCTAAGGAGGCCCTCCCTCTAGCAGGCATTAACTACCTAAGAGTCCTTATGGAGGGGTGAGGCCTCTTGAACCCTCTTACCCCCTATTAGAATATTGGTAGACTGGATCTTGTATCAGTCTAGTGTAGGTAATCCTAGTGACTGTGAATTCATGTGCCTGTGTTCATCAGGATGACTGGTTTTTAGTTTTCTTTTTTATTGTGTCTCCATCTGTTTTGGGGGCTGGTGGCTTCAAAGCCATAGGCAATTGGCTTTTCTGTGAATTTGTAACTTTATGTTGGGTGTTAATATGCAACATGAATAAAAAAAACCCAGAGACAGATATTGGGGTTCAAGCTGAAGATCAGAAAGGCAAAGCAGTCAAACCACTAGAGAGCTCTTACCTCTATGAAATCTTCAGACTGAAAGGAGAGATCCTGCCTCCACGAATTCTCAGGAGGTCGTCCTCTGAGTTCCTGTCTCCTCCACCTCATAATCCTCCCTCCACCCATCCATATCCTCTGGTCTCTACCTCCCAGTGCTGGGATTAAAGGTGAGAGCTCTGTTTCTCTTTTAGACTGATTCACTCTCATGTAGCCCAGGGTGGCCTTGAATTCACAGAGATCCATCTGCCTCTCCTGAGTCCTAGAATTAAAGGTGTGGCCATTACTGCCTGACCTTTATGGCTGTGGCTAGCTTTGCATTCTGATCTTCAGGCAAGCTTTATTAGATCATAAACAATATATCACCACAAAGAGTTAAATGGTGTTCCTTTCTTTCCTGTATCCTGGAATGGTTTGGGAAGCATTGGTGTTAATTCTCTAGAGATCTGGGTGAATCCACCTGTGAATCTATCAGGGCCAGAAAAAAAAATGTTTTTTCTTTCTTCAGCCTCACCATTTATTATAAATACATTAGATTGTCTATCTCCTTTTGGTATAATTTTGGATAGGTCATACACATCTAGATATTCACTAACTTCTTTTGGATTCCAGTTTAGTTGAATAAATGTTTTTAAGGTGTGTACTAAAAACTTTCTGCATTTCATTAGTATTTTTTGTTAACACTTCCCTTTCATCTTGTTAGACCCCCGGAAAACTCAGGTATCCAGGGTCCCAGACCACGTTCACGGTCACCCCAATCACCAGGCAGATTTGAGAGCTTGCTGCAAACTGCACGAGGCTTTATTGTAATTTAACGAGCTAACCCCATGTTAGCTCGGGGGTCTTTCACCCACCTGCCATGGCGGATGGCTTGCAAAAGACAGCTCCTAGGGCCTCGTGAGAGATCTTATAGGACAGTGTAAGGGGAGTGTCTAGGGGTACGCACAGGCTCACGATTGGTGTGCCTCCAGGCTTGGAGGGCTTGCCCTATGTTGGTTGGTCAACTGGTTGTTATGGCCCATAGGCCCTCCCAGGGTGGTTGTTATGCTTTGTGCATCATTGCTGTGCGCTTGTCCGTAAAGCACACCCAGGGTCGTAAAGCATAGCGCCACCAGCTAACTTCTGATTGGTTCCTTGTCACGAGGCAGGCATCTGACTTTCTAGTTTGGTCTCCTCTTTCTCTTCGTTAGTTTGACTAAGAGTTGATCAATCTTGTTAATCTTATCAAAAAAGGAACTCTCTGCTAAAGAAATTCTTAGTATTATAATGAAAATTTTATTATAATGAAAATCATTTTTATTTCTATTGCGCTAATTTCTGCCATGATCTTAATTATTACTTCTCATCTACTGGTTTTGGGTTTGGTTTGTTCTTGCTTTTCCAAAAACCTAAGGCACATCATCAAGCCATTTGAGGTGCCCATGATTTTTTCGTGTATATAAATTTTCCTCTTGGAATTGCTTTCATTGTATCTCATAGCTTTTGCTATGTTGTGTCCTCATTTTAATTCTAAGATCTTTTTAAATTCCTTGTTGATTTATTCTCTGATACATTCATCATTCAGTGGCGTGCTAGTTAGTTCCAAGAGTTTGTGTGTGTTCTGCAGTTTCTTCAGCTATTGAATTTTAGTTTTATTCTATTGTATCCATATAGAATTCAATGATTTTTTTCAACTTTCCTATACTTATTAAGATTTGCTTTGTGGGGCCAGGCTTAGTAGCACATGCCTTTAATCCCATCATTCAGGAGACAGAGGCAGGCAGATCTCTGAGTTTTCGGCCAGCCTGGTCTACAGAGGGCAGCCAAAGATAAAACAAAAACAAACAAAAAAAGATTTGCTTTGTATTCTAATGTATGACTCATTAGAGTCTGAGAAGAACGTATATTCTGTCAAGTTTGGATGGAATGTTCTATAGCTATCTGCCAGATCCACTGACTCATTTGATCTATGATGTCATCTTACTTAGATGTTTCTGTTTGGTTTTGTTTGGGTGATTGTCGAATGGAGTAGCGATGTCACCCACTCTTACTGTGTTAGGGTTAATCTATGCCTTTGCATCTAGCATATTTGGGTGCCCCTGAGTTCTGTGTGTGTTTAGAATTGAAACAGTCCTTTTGAGGACTGCTTCCTCAATCATCATAGAATGCCCTTCTGCATCTATTTTGATGACATTAGAAACACACCACTTGCTTCTTTCCAAGGTTAATTTGCTTAGAACACTTTTTCCCATGGTATACTAATCCATCCTTTATGGGGAATTGAGAAGTATTCACTAATTCCTGTCAAATTTTGTTGTGTCTGGTCTTCTTTTATTTTTCTTTTTGGTTTTTTGAGACAGGGTTTCTCCGTGTAATAGCCCTGGCCGTCCTGGAACTCATACTGTAGACCAAATTAGTCTTGAACTCGCAGAGATCCACCTGCCTCTGTCTCTTGAGTATTGGGATTAAAGGCGTGCACCACCACCACCCAGTGTGTTTGATGTTTTCTTATTCTTGTCTTGCTTAACTATTAATATTCATGGGTGGTTTATTCTTTCCTGTGGCCCCCATGAATATATTTGGTTTTCTCTTCAATTTGAGGGATTTCTTCGAGTGTCTTCTGTTAAGCTGAGTTAGTAGTCATGAATTCCTTTATCATATCTTAATTGTGGAAAGTTTCTCTTTTTCCTTCAATGACAGATAACATTAATGGGGATCACAGTATGTGCTGGCAGTTGTTAACTTTTAAGACTTGAAGTACTTTATTACAAGGTCCCCTGGCTTTTAAATTTGCTATGTAGAAATCTATTATTCTCATGGGCCTGCCTTTATATGTAACTGGATGCTTCTCTGGCATTTTCAGTGTATTTCCTTTGTTCTGCATATTTAGTGGTGTAATTATAATATGGCATGAAGAATTCTCTGGTTTCATCTATCTGGTGTTCTAAGTGTCTCCTATGTCTGGGTTGGCATCCCTTTCAAAATTTTTTGAAAACTTCAAAGGTGTTCACAGGGACCTTAGCCAATTTTTTGGGTGTAGTTAAGCACGCAGTCCTTGTTCATTCCACTGTTGCTGTAGAGTGACGGGGTGTAAGGGAGTCACATTTTTGGTGGTTTCCACAGCCTCTGCCCAGGCAGCTCTGTTAATCCAGCTGTTGATTCCCAGTCTGTCTGCATCCCTGTGGGCTGGGTGGGTATTGTTTCTCTTTGAGACAGGTCTCACCATGTAGTTTAGGCTAACACTAAACTCAAAACTCTTCCTGTCTCTGCCTCTTGATGAGCTTACAGCATGTGTTGTCATACTCAACCTCATCTTGAAACATGATAATTTGGACAAGGAGTCTTGCATTTTCCTCTTGTACCAGGATCCACAAATTCTTTAGCTGTTTCCAGTAAGGGAATACTGGTTAGAAGGTTCTTGGTTCAGAAGCCCTAAAGACACATAACAAACTACTAGTACTCACGTCCTAAACAGAAATGTTTGGTGGCCTTTCTGTAGGAAGGAATTATGAAGCTGGTTTCAATAACAGTCCAACAGGCAGCCATACTGGCTCCTAAGGGAGAGCAAAGAACCCTAGGAGGGCTGAGAAATATAAGAACTGTTTTAGACCGAGATGGGCCACTTCCTTTCACTCTTAGCAGTGTGAGGGAAGCAATGTCTAGAGAGTAACCAGATAAATTTGTCATTATACTCCAGGTTTCTTCTGAAAGAAGGACAAAGTGTGCTTCCTTTGACCCAATGTAGGGCCCTCACCAAGAAAACCAGCCACAGGGGATTTTGGTCACAAAAAGAGGTGAAAATATCCAGGTCACAGGGTTGTTATTGGTAGCCATAAAAGGCCAGCAAAATGAGAAGCCATTCTTGCAAAGAGGAAACTAGAGACTGAAACCACCAAAAAGATATCTGGGAGGCAAATAAAAAAGAGGCAACTTTGGACATTAGCCAGGTACAGAAACATTGTCACATGCACCACCACCCCCTTCTCCGTGCCAGTCCTGGGCAGTCCCCAGGTCTCAGTTCTGAGTAGCCAAAGAAAGCAAAGCAAGAGATTCAACCTGTACATCTCCCAGGCGGTCTCCTAGCGTAGCAGGAACAAAGAAAAAGTCTTCAGCTAGATGAGACACTTGAGTTTCAGTCTGTTATCACATTGGGCTGGATGTATAATTTTAGGCTAGACTACGCTCTGTGTACCTGAAGATACTATATGAAATCTACTATACACAGATTATGCCTGGTATCTCACTAAGGAGCAGAGGTGTCCAGAGATAGTGTGAAAAGACAGTGAGAGAATACACTTTGTTTTTGCTTGCACTTTATCAAATTAAAGACTTCCTACATGCAGGCAGGTGTTTTCATAATATTTCTCACCTGTTCTCTTGTACCAGCCGTGTGCCGTGTATATATAGTGTTCTGTTCTATAGAGAAGTGGCCAGTGTGGGAAAACGTCAGCCATTGATCTCGAAGATGCACCAATCAAGCTATCAGAATATGCTGTGCAAACCAGAGCTCTCTGCTTGGAGTTGCCTCCTCCTTCTTACACGAATGTAGATGGAGTTTAGTGGCATGTAGACAAATTTAGTGGCGTGAATGCAGTCTCTGGACAGACTTGCATGAGAACACCTAACACATAAGTATTAGTTAAATACTGGGTAAGAGTCTTTCAGATGAGGCCTTGAATTCAGCTCCCTTCCATACTTTGGAAAGGGCCTACTTCCTCAGTGGCTAAGCTCTTCAGTTCCATATACCACCTTCACAGCTGTATTTTCTGATGAGCATAACTAAGAGAGTTCATAACTGACTCCCTAAAAGTAGTTATACTCACTGCTCCCTTTCCTTTGGCAATTTTCTCTGCCTGCAGATGCAAATGCATTAAGAGGCCCAAGGCTGGTGTCTGGGAAGATTGGGGGAGCTGTCACCATCCATTGCCATTATGCCCCCTCCTCAGTCAACAGGCATCAAAGAAAATACTGGTGTCGCCTGGGGCCTCCATTGTGGATCTGCTCCACCATCGTGTCCACCAACCACTACACTCGCCATGACTACAGAGGGCGTGTGGCTCTCACTGACTTCCCACAGAACGGTTTGTTCATGGTGAAGCTATTCCAGCTGTCCCTGAATGACACAGGGCTTTACCACTGTGGCATTGGGGACAGAAACGACATGCTGTTCTTCAGGATGAATCTGATTGTGTCTGCAGGTATGAGCTGATTGATGGCTAATGGGCAAAGTTCAGAAAAAAAAAATGGATACAAGAGAAGGCTCAGAAGCCCAAGTAAGCCCTGTGCCTTTCAAAAAATAAAAAAGGGGAGTAGGAGAAAGACTCTGAGAGGTAGACTTTTGGTTTAGATAAAAGTTATTTTCAAGAAGGCAGATACTAGGGAAGAGTACCCAACAGGGTATTACAAGGTTGTCCACCTGGTTCTTTCTATCCTGCTTGTTGCAGGATGAATGTTTGAACTAAGTTCTAAAAGCGCTGTGAGCTAGACAATGTGACTTCTCTGATTCCAGAAAACTTGGTGTTCAGACACGCAAAGCAGAGGTAGCATTGCCAGTGCCTACATGGGGAGGAGGTAGGGTGTCTAGGGCTAGGCTTTCCTATAGTAGTGCCTTGCTGAGTCCCTGTGCAGACATCTGACAGCTCCAAGGCTCTCTGTTCCAAAGACTGGATCCAGACTCAGGCACAGAAGTCTAAAGCAGTGTGTGTGTGTGTGTGTGTGTGTGTGTGTGTGTGTGTGTGTGTATGTGTTCCTGAACCCGTACACATGCATGTGCACACATGCACCATAAAGATTGCTCTGCAGAACACCTAGTCAGAATTGATCTTTTTGGTGAACATATAAATTCCCTTGAATGCTGCAGTACACCTGTCTGCTGCAGTTGGGGGGCTTATTTACTCCTTTGTTGAATAGTAACACAGGCTCCTAAGTATCTGGATAGGAAATATGCAGGCCTGAGGTAAGGAAATAGGAATGTAAAATGTGAATAATTGCAAAACCAAAGAAGTAACTGAGTTTCTCACCTTTTAATTTTATCGGACTTATTAGCAGACGATTGCATCTCTTAGTGAGGTGCATCCTACTTGACCAAATGTCCTTTGCTGAACCCACTAGGTAGCCTAGATAGTACTCCTCATGGCCTCTCTCTGTGTGTCCCACACAGGTCCTTCCAATACCACCTCTGCAGCAGCTCCAACTTCTGGTGAGCTCATCACAGTATCTCCTGGGAGAGCTTCGGCAACCAACAGATGGACCCTGGGAGTCACCCAGATTCTAGAAGGTAGGAGCTCAGAATGGGACAGAACAGCTCCAACTACAGCCAACAGATGGACCCCAGAAGTCACCCAGACTCTAGAAGGTGGGGACTCAGAATGGGACAGAATAGCTCCAACTACAGCCAACAGATGGACCCTAGAAGTCACCCAGACTCTAGAAGGTGGGGACTCAGAATGGGACAGAACAGCTCCAACTACAGCCAACAGATGGACCCCAGAAGTCACCCAGATTCCAGTAGGTGGGGGCACAGAACAGGACAGAACACCTCCAACTACAACCAACAGATGGACCCCAGGAGTCACCCAGACCCTAGAAGGTGGGGACTCAAAATGGGACAGAACAGCTCCAACTACAGCCAACAGATGGACCCCGGGAGTCACCCAGATTCTAGAAGGTAGGATCTCAGAATGGGACAGAACAGCTCCAACTACAGCCAACAGATGGACCCGGGAAGTAACCCAGACTCTAAAAGGTCAAGGCTCAGAATGGGACAGAATAGCTCCAACTACAGCCAACAGATGGACCCTAGAAGTCACCCAGATTCCAGTAGGTGGGGGCACAGAACAGGACAGAACACCTCCAACTACAACCAACAGATGGACCCCAGGAGTCACCCAGACCCTAGAAGGTGGGGACTCAAAATGGGACAGAACAGCTCCAACTACAGCCAACAGATGGACCCTAGAAGTCACCCAGATTCCAGTAGGTGGGGGCACAGAACAGGACAGAACACCTCCAACTACAACCAACAGATGGACCCCAGGAGTCACCCAGACCCTAGAAGGTGGGGACTCAAAATGGGACAGAACAGCTCCAACTACAGCCAACAGATGGACCCGGGAAGTAACCCAGACTCTAAAAGGTCAAGGCTCAGAATGGGACAGAACAGATCTAACTACAAGAATAAGCAAACCTGCAGCTTCAGGCAATGAAAGACAAACCCCAAGAACAGCCAGGACAATGGTTCCAGGGACAAGCAGCAGTGAGGAGGGCTCTATCAAGGCAACAGTCCCCACTCTAGAGAGTCCAGCTTCAAAATCAAGAAGCATGTTCAGTACAACACAGGGTGTTTGGATATGGGGCACCAGAAACTCAGCAACAGCTAGTGCTAGCACCGGTGAGGGCAGGGAGAAAGGCACAGCTCCAGAGGCTGATGGGCCACAGGAGGAAACAGAGGTCAGCACATCTCCAGAAGCACTCGGGAAGACTACAGGAGCCAACAGACTATCAGTCCTGATCTCAGAGCATGTGACCTGGGAAACTCTCCAAGAAGCAACAGAGGCTTCTAAGCAGCAAACACTGTACTCGGTGGAAGAGTCATCCCCAGCTCCAAATGCATGGATAGTGAATGCTACACATACGCAAATGGCATCTGAAAGCCTTGACTGGAGCCTAGAAAACACTGGTGGAGAAAGTAGGCCCCCAACACCGAGACAGCTTTCATCAGAGGGCCCTATGTGGACCCCTGGCAAGGAGTCATCCATGAAGAGGTAAGCCTTGTTTCTTGGCCAGCCCTTCCTTCTTCCCTTTGTTTCTATGAATCAGTAAAGGGTGGGATGGGGAGCATAGGCATTGGCTACCATCCTCCGCACTTCAGTGTCCACACAGCAGGCACCAATAAGGCTGTCTGAATGCTTTCTGGTGGTTTGCAAACAAAATCTAAGTGATATGATGAAATCATCTTTAGGCTGAACACCCCCCCCCCAACCCAGAGCTCTCTATTTAATGTGAGGACCAAAACTCCAGAGAAGAGAAATAACGTGGTGAAGACAAAAAGAAAAGTTGTGACAGAGCCAAATGCCAAAGCCAACTTCCTGGTCACTCATCTTCTTTCTCAATATGGCACATTGTGGCCCATGCATGAGAGGATGGAGCGAAGCGAAGGATTGGGGCTTGAGGAGCTGAAGAGAGCAGCTCTGCTGTGAGCCAGTTATAGGGACAAGTGTGGCCAATTAGCCTGAACTCCAGCTTGTCCACCTGAGAAATGAGAGAGGCAGGCTACTGGTCTTAATAGTCATCTTAGTTCCCACCTCCCTGACCCATGCTCCTCTCACCCTTGACTCCTCCCCCTGCAGTGCTTTTACAGAAAAAGAAAGCAACTCTTGGATCCTGACTCCAGTCTCCACTGTGCTGGCCCTGGTTCTGCTTGTGTCTCTGGTCCTATTCAAAAGGAGACTCCAGAGAAAGACAACCTGTGAGTTGAGCTTATGTAACCCCAAAGCTAGGAGATGAATGGTCTTTTCCACCTGATACCCTCAGGGCTGGGTCAGGTCAGATTGCTGCATGTCCTGACTTTTAGATGTAGAAAAGGTAAATTCTACTCTGAACCATTGCACTATGCTTGGTTGTGGCTTCATAAAATTCTCTCTCCACTTGTGCCTCAGTGGCATTCCTTGGCTTAAAGAGATCTTTGGAGGATACCAGGAACTGTTAACCATAGGTATGGAGCCACACTGGCAAACTTTCTGCAAAGCCTATCCTACTCTCATTGTAAAGTTCCAAGGATGCCAACTCCTAATGTGAGTGCTCCATGTGAGTGCTCCACTGTATGGTCTTGTTAAAGAGAGATTGAGGCTTTCTGGGTGGCAGTGGGAGAGGCTGAGGTTCCCAGGGCCAGGGAACAAATCATCTGGACCAATTGGTGTTGTTCTAATGTTCTAATGTTCTAATGGGTGTTGTTCTAATGTTCCTTTCTGTCTTAGGAAATTCTCAGATATGTACCTCTCTTATTCTTAGGAAGGCAAATCTGTGTATCTGTCCCAGGATACCCACAGCCTTCTCTATGTCTCTGCAGTTCAGGAAGCAGAAAGGCCACCAAGGATCACCCTAATTCAGATGACACATTTCCTACCAGACAAGCTCCCCGATTTGGGAAAGAACTTGCACCAAGGTGACCTTCCTCCTGCCCAAGCCAGCCTGTCTGTCCTGGAGAAGGACCAGAACACTGAGGATGAGAAAGTAAACAGCTCAGTCACCATGGAAGGAGGACCAAGACCAGATCTCTCCATGGTTTCTTCATCCCCTTCTCATCTTCACCCACACAAAGACTAGCTAACTGTGCTCAGCCTCCAGCTGGGGACACCTGGCCTTCTAGCTGGGGCCTCGGAGGGTCGGGCACTCTCTGCAGCCAAAGGTGACAGTACAATGATGCAAAGAAGGCTTCAAGAAAGGGCTTGTGATATGGCTGTTTTTAACTGCCTAGTCTGCTGCCCCTTATAAGCTTTTTTTTTTCCAGAAAGAAAGAGAGGGGGAGAGGGAGAGTGAGAGAGAGGGGGAGGGGAGGGGGAGAAAGGTGGGAGAGAGAATACAGCTCTGGGCTGTCACTGCTGCCTCTGCCTCTCTGGGTGCCCTTCTTTCCCTATGTTTGTTAGTACAAAGCCTGCTGCTCACACTCAGCATTCTCGTATACCAGGCTCATCTGAGCAAACACAGCTGTAGCTCCTTAAGGACAGTAATTGTATTTTATCCTTTTCACTAAATCTTCAGAGAACTTGCAACTCGGAGGGAGGGAGGGGACCCCAGCCAATTAAATGCCCATGCCTGTTTGACCAGGCATGCCCTGCACTTAGTGGACTCTGGGGATCTACTTGGGCAAGAGGTCTCCATCACTTTTGGTTGGGAGGGCATTAGATGGCCACATCAGTGGGTGGTTTCTACGAGAGACAGGAGGAAAGAACACCTTTTCTTCTCACCATATCTCCCCATTTGGCCCTGTTCTCATCACACTGGAAATCTTTTGCCCGGGTCAAGGTTTTCTGGGATTTTCCTAAATGATGGAAGAAGAGGGTACTTTTCATTAGGTTTCCACCTTCATTATCACTCTCCTCTTGTTCCACTGTTTATAAATCTTTGCCATCAAAGGCTGTGGACAAAGCTGAAAATGGTTTGGGAAGAGAAGAGAGAAGGACAAATGAGAGGGATTTTATGTGGCTTCTGCCTTGTAACCGTGTCTGCTGGGGAACTTTTGGCCCACTGTTGACCCTACCATCTTGTCCCAGCCACTCTTTTTCGTTGGCTGATGCATTAGTAAGGGTTCTGTATTCTGTATGTGGGCAGTACAGGCATTGAGCAACAGAAGCAGTGGGGAAGGAAAAGTGCCAATACCATAAGAACTGTGATGTTGACATTTCCAGAAGAGTTGGCCTTGTCTTCTAAACTGTCAGTGGCATCGAAGTCCTTCAAAAACACCTCTTCATTATCTGGTCATGACCCAGATACTATACTAAGGGTTTATGAGAGTCTGGTCTTAGGTAAGGAGGCAGGTTGAATGCAGCTAGCCAAGTAGAAACACAGAACTTCAGAGCCTCAGATACTTAATCCAGAGCAGTGGTTCTCAAACTGTAGCTCTCGGCCCCTTTGGGGTGGAATGACCCTTTCATAGAAGTCACATATCAGATATCCTGCATATCAGGTATTTACATTATGATTGATAACAATAGCAAAATTACATATGAGATAGCAATGACAGTGACTTTATGGTTGGGGGGGGGCACCACAACATGAGGAACTGTATTAAAGGAGTCACAGCAATAGAAGGTTTAGAACCACTGATCTAGAGGGAATCTGAGGCCCAGTGGAAGAAGTCACCTGTTTGGAGTCACCAAGTCACCAGGGAACCAAGCTTGCAAAATCAGAGTGAAGACTAGAGAGTGTATGACCTTGGCCTTGTGTCTTTCCGCTTCACTACTGCAATGCTAATTAAACAGAACTTGTCAAAAGTGCATCATACCACAACCATAACTCCACACTACTTTCTGCCCGCTATCTCAGTCGGCCTGAGAAATCAGTAAGAGAGGCTGGAAAGCCATTGCTCCATCTTACTGATGAAGAAGCAGTTCTTGACAGGTGCACAATTCAGCCAAGACCACTTAGTTTATTGATGGCTGTGATGGGTCAAAAATGCAGGCTGTTTGGTCTTGTCTAACCCATCAGTCTTTACCAGGAGTATCATTAGCTTCTTGGGATATTAAGAGATAGCCAGAGGAGCCGGGCATTGGTTGCGCACGCCTTTAATCCCAGCACTCGGAAGGCAGAAGCAGGCGGATCTCTGTGAGTTCGAGGCCAGCCTGGTCTCCAGAGCGAGTGCCAGGATAGGCTCCAAAGCTACACAGAGAAACCCTGTCTCGAAAAAAAAAAAAAAAAGAGGTAGTCAGAGGAGATTAAGTTGTAGCTCCAAGAAGTTAGAGAAATGCTAGGTTAATCAACAGAGATTCTTACATGCAGAACTTCTTAGAGCCTTAACTATCCAAAGGGATGTGGTGAATATCTGAGAGTGGGGACATCATGTGTGCTGAACTATGGTGCTTGAAAGCAATCTCATTGAACTGGGTCTCCTTAGACCACTTATTATGGAAGCCAAAACATTAAACCAAGACATGGCCTCCAAAGCCACACAGCAACTATCTTAGATTTGCCAACTTGGCAGCCTCTGAGGCAGCCACTTGGCTCCAACTCTGTAGCCGCAGAGGGTACACAAACCACTGGCTATCCTACATTCCAGCAAAACTCTCACAGGAACAGGAAACTGCGTTTGGCCTTTAACCATATTTTTCAATGCCTGCATTGAGCCCTAAGACTATACACGACTGTTAGATACTTATATATCTGACCTGAACAATCAGATCTGTCTCCTCAGGAACTTCCTGCCGCCCCTTGCTGGTCCTTCTCCTTCCTCTGAACTGTTCTGATACTCTTTGTCCTGAACTGGGCAGCCATGGAATCCTGTCTGACTGCCCATCTTAGTAGAAGAGGGGGAGTGGGAGGGAAGGAGGCCCTGCAGGGAAGTTTCCAGGAGTACAGGTGTTTTAGAGATCCACCAGGAAGAGCTGCAGGAGATCAATCTCAGGCCCCAGTGTTTGGGGGAGGTGGGATAAGGTCTGGGTAGATGCCACAGAGAAGGAAGTGGGGCGAGCCCTGTTTACAGCTCTCCTTTATGGTCCAACGGACTCAGGCTGGGCTTAAGTGGTCAAGGACAAACCACACAGAGCAGGCCAACTTCACTAGCACCCACTCCTGCCATTGAAGTGAGGCCAAGGGACACTGCCTTACTAGGCTAGAATCAGAGGCACTTACTTCCATTTCAGGATTCAGGGATGCCTCTGATTTTCACAAGGTGAAGCCACTGGGCATAGCCCTCTAATGCTCTCTCTTTCTACTCATTAATGTGTGTAGCTAACTTCTCATTCACCACATGTCTCTACACAGCTCATTCTGTGTGCAGTAAATGAAACACTTCTGAAAGGTAATTATGGCCATTCCCATTTTCTGGATGAGGAAACTGATACCTCCAAGGGGAAAGTGTGCCAGGACATGTGGCCCCCTCTGCAGTCTCTATCCTTGACCACTACTATTTTGTCCCTCATCTTGATTGTATTTATTGATAGCTGTAATCAAGGACTCGGTCAAGAAACCACTGAAATGACTGCTTCATGACTGGGGGAAGGTTTTTATTGTGGGAGATTGAGAGAGAGAGAGAGAGAGAGAGAGAGAGAGAGAGAGAGAGCATTCCAAGGCACTTGGAAGAATCCAGAGCAGAGAGATAGAAGCAGACAGGGCATGAGCAGGGCTAGGGAAGCAGGGGTAGCAGAGAAGAGCGAGAGAGAATGGTGACAACAGCATGCTTGGCATTAGGGGAGGGGAAAACCTTGCCTTTGTATACAGGACAAACAGGATGTTTGTGAGGTGCACAAACCTTGGGGCTAGCATAGTGGAGGAGGAGAGGGAGAGGTGGGAAGGGCCAGGAGGCTAACATTGACTTTGAAATGTGTAGCATTATATGTGACTAGGGACCAGAGCCTGGAGTCAGCATGTCCGCACGGGCTTTGGTATGCATCACAGGTACACATCAATAGGGAGCCAGATGCCTCAGCCACCACTGGAGGGGGAGATAGGGATGATGTGCCTCTTTCTGGTGAACAGAAACCCTCTAGGGGTTCCTGAGAAATGCTGACAGTATCCTTCAGCTGAGCAAGACTGTCATTTGTGGACACCTTCGCTGCCTTCTGGGGCTTGGGGAGTTGGGGTTTCCTTTATCTGACAATAACCTTGTCAGTCAGGCCTTTCCCCAGGGTTGCTTGTTTCTCTCCTTGAGACTCGTGTGTGGAAAGCTGCACAGTCACTTCCAGTCATTGGTTCTCTTTAATCACTAACTGGTTTATTCTTGTCTAAGCTTAGTGGGATGTGGGGTGGGGTGGGGGGCTCACAAAGCCAGACTGAGAACTGAAACTTCGGCCCTGAAGTACTTGGTGACATCTGGACAAAAGGAACTCAAATGTCAAAGATGTGTAAGAGTATCCATGTACTCGAGGTCACTAGGCATAAATGCTTGTCACTGCACTCAACTGAGAGACTAGGAGTAAAACAGTCTCTCTGATTTGAGACGAAAGCCTGGCAGCTTAAAACAAAGGCCTTGTGAGCTTCTGCCTCCTACCAGCAGGACACTTGCGGGTGGACTGACTCAACAAGTTCAAGACTGATCAGGACCAGTCACACAACAGTTCTGGGCCAGTCAACAATCCTTGCCTTTGTCAAACTGACCAACCCTAACTTAAGGGAGGAAAACTCTTGAGAGGATTTAAACCCCAGCCCTCAGAAGAGACTGGAGTTCTCACCTTTCTGCCCACCTCCTGGCTTTGTTCAGGGTCTTTGTGTGGCTGACACACGAGTGCGTTTCCTCACCCCCAATAAATGATTTTCTCAACTGTCAATTTTGTCTGCGGTGCTTGAGGCTTCTCTGCTGCTACCCGGTGCATTCCAGATTTTTCCTGCCTTTTAATTCTTTAACTGGCAGAGAAAACTAACTGGATCAAGACCCCTAGATGGTATAATCTAAGACCCCTGGATTGTATCACTACTGATAGTTCAGAGGTTGTTTCTTTGCCTCAAATAGGAGAGTCTGAGAAATTCTGAATCCATTTAGTAGCTGCCTGAAAGATTTCCTTCACTGAAGGACACATTGGGATGCATGAGGCAAACAGATGAGGAGTTGCAGACCATCCCTCACTGGGGAGACCACCCCATGGCTGACAGCTTGGCAAGTGTGTTCCAGAAGC